TCTTGCGTGTCCATTTTCTGGCTTTGTGACTCTTCACTTCCTTCTATCAGACTTCCACTTCTATACATGCAATAAATTTTCATAATTATATATCCCAACATATTTTAAATACATACATCAGATAAATTATGTTCAGAAGCGTGCCCTTTTAGTTCTACCTTAATGTTTCGGGAAGGAAATCTTGTAAAATTTCCAGATAATTGACTTCTTCTTGTTTCTTTTTACTTTTGTTTACCTACCGAGAACAACAATTATTAAAACATGGTTCTTTTCAGCGGCCGTTGTTTGTGTTTGAACTACCTAAAAAACATATCTCAAACGTGGTGGTCCAGTGTAGGTATAGTATTTCTACAATAAGCTGTCGTGGTTTGCGTGTGAACTACCTGAAAAACATATCTCAAACGTGGTGGTTCAGTGTAGGTAGTATTCTACAATAAGCTGTCGTGGTTTGTGTCTGAACTACCTGAAAAATATATCTCAAACGTGGTGGGTTCAGTGTAGGTAGTATTCTACAATAAGCTGTCGTGGTTTGTGTCTGAACTATCTGAAAAAGATATCTCAAACATAGGTAGTACTATATAAACGTAGATAGTATAAGAATATATATTATATGAACGTTTAATATAACTTACCCTAGCAGACCGTCGCTTTGGCGCACTGAATGGATCACTTTCTTCTGCTACAAACTTCTTTCTTTTTAAACTGTTTGACGTCCTCTTGTCTTCGTTGTCTAAATCATAAAACATTATTACTACGCTTAGCCCCTATACGTTTACGAATTGAGCTATCAATCAGTATTTTCTTATACCTTTCGCAAACAGTTTTTGAGATGCATTATTTCGAACAATTTCTAAAACATAAAGAACGTTTCTAAATATTACAGGAAGTCCATATATTCTGCAGATTGAACATGGAAAATGACTCAAAAGACTAATACAACACACTACATGTGCATTTACCTGGTGTTATGATAATTTTACAGTAACTTTCCAAGTTCACTTTCTGACACAAGTTCTGAAAAAAGAAATAGATAAAATGGTTTTGCCAGTTGATAAAAATGGAGAACTAGAGTTTTGTCTGTAAACTAAACAACGTCCTGTGAACGGCATAGAATATCCTATTGATTCAGTGTTACTACCGGAGGAAATCTAAACAAAACTAACTTTATTTATACTGGATTAATTTACTTACAAGAGAGTTATCATCTGAAGTAACTTGGTCATATAACGCAACAAGACAATTACCTAACGAACTCCACCTACAGAAAATGTAGCGAAGTTTATGAGGCTGATTGACGTGTTAAGTCCTATACAATGAAAACAAAGAAACCATTCTACACTTCCTAAATACTTACGTGTACAGAGCCAAATGTTTTACAGGGATAATGGGCGGTGGCTCCGGTAAGACATTTCTTTGCCTGTTTTTCTTCCTTAAATCTAGTGCTTCGTTAATGAGCTGCAAAATATAACACAAGTTCCAATCTACATTGAAGAACTGTCTTCATTTTCCATGGACTACTAACCCATTAAGCTGCAATGCGCCCAAATGCACCCTAGCTTATTCTTTTACTCAGTCTATAACGATTTTACTCGTCAAAGGGAGTCAATCTTTCGCATAAACGGGTTAAACGACAAACCTGACAAGCAAGTTCTTGGTCATACTTTCCATGTTTCGCTGACGACATTCCCCTAAACGTATAAATTTTGGAGCTTTATTGATTTGTTCTGTGCAAAGATAAATAATTTAAAATTGTGTTTTCAAGGATAGATCACTCAACAATTTTGTGGCTACCTTAAATGTTGGTACTCGCTCCTAAAACTGGAAAACTGGGAGTAAATTTTATCTCTCATAACAAGACCTGGAGAAAAGTAAATTAAAAGTTATGTTAATGATGGCCGTTTTTATATTAGGGACGTATTATCCGTCAGGGCAAATTTGGACCAGCATTTGCAATTGGTAGATGAAGAAATTTATTACCATTCAAAAAATTTACAATGAGAAAAAAAAATTGTGCGTCTTCAGAATAAAGGCGGGAACAACATCTATTATGTGTCTAGACAAACTATGTTCGGTAGTTTAATTGTCTTATAAGTGACGCAAAACCGGTGATATTCGTCTGGGCTCATAAAGCATCTTGTGTCTGTCCTTACACTGAAGACACACAACGAAGATATCTTATTGGTCTGACAAGTTTGTCGGATTATTCGTCCCATATTTACACTAGACAAATAATATAAAAGATGCACAATGCGAAGGATAAGTTGTACCTTTGGGGTAAGAGGCGTCTCTTTCAAATGCACTTGATACAATCGTCAGACACGCTGAAAGTAAAACCAAATGTTTCTATGGTAACCAGTTCATAATTTTCACTTGCAGGAATGCATAAAAAATCACAAACTTCACAATTGACTTGATCTTACAATGATAATCTCCAATTGCATAAAGAACCGTGACTAGTTCATCCAGACATGGCCAATGCTTTGAATTTATATTCAATCCCTAAAAGAATTCAGACAAAGGCTAATTGTTCACACAAGACAAATGCTGTGATGGGAATTCGTACAGTTATCTAACTTATCTGTGCTCAAATTTGTCCACTTTCGTTCATAACATGAAATATGTAAATGAGTGAATATCCATAACCTCAACTGTGCTAACCTGTTCAAATGAATATCTTGCCAATCTAAGGTTTTCAAGTTTCACAGCAAGCTTGCCAATTTTGTACCATAATGTCACATCAGAGTCGTCAATAGCTGCTGCCTGAATTGAAATGTATGGATTCGCTCTCACACACGGAAAATGAAATACTGCTGCAGCTACTATTACGTACTACTATACCTCAAGGTAAAGGTCAACAGCTTTTTCCTCATCAGCGTCATTCTCAGCAAGACTCGCTAAATTTTTATATGCTGAATATTTGAACACCAATCCTGGATGAGTGGGTTGGCTATCATCTTTCTCAGTGTCATCAACCTAGTTTAACAGCACATAATAAAAATAGGTACACATTGTGTACATGTACCAATATCCTGAGGCATATGTGCAGAGATACTCCATCTTCTAATGAAGGTTGTGTGAATCACATTGAAGGTAAATTTTGCAAAATGTAGGCCTGGGTATTTAACCTTCGGTGACATGATGAATGACTGACTGACCAGGCAAATGACCGACTGTTGGAAGTGACTCGGACCAACCAAATGACCAACTTTCTGACCAATCAAATGACAATCTATCTGATCAACCAATCAAATGATCAACTGTCTTACCAGCCAAATGACCAACTTTCTGGCCAACCAAATGACAATCTGTCTGATCAACCAACCAAATAACCGACTGTCTGATCAACCAATCAAATAACCAACTGTCTGATCAACCAATCAAATAACCGACTGTCTGACCAACCAATCAAATAACCGACTGTCTGATCAACCAATCAAATAACCGACTGTCTGATCAACCAATCAAATAACCAACTGTCTGATCAACCAATCAAATAACCGACTGTCTGATCAACCAATCAAATAACAGACTGTCTGATCAACCAACCAAATAACAGACCGTCTGATCAACCAATCAAATAACCGATTGTCTGATTACAACCAACCAAATAACCGACTGTCTGATCAGCCAACCAAATAACCGATTATCTGACCAACTGACCAGCCAAATGACCAACTAATTGACTAACCCAATAAAATATGTCCATATATCAAGTAGAGTAACTAACCAACTGTGAAAAACAGCACCTGATCAGGATTACCTTACATGTTGCAAGAAAACTAATCAGATCAGATAAACTTATACCAATGTATTACAATACATACATCAGCTACAAATGAAGCATTCAATAATTTTTCATAATATTCCTTTGCTCTACCATGGTTACCAAGTTGCTGATGCTGTAAGGCTTGATTGTATAGTTCAAGTGCCTCAGTTTCCTACATCAGTCAGAAGAAAATATTAATAAAATAAAATATATATATATTGCAGTTCTAATTTCGCCTCAGTCACATGTGAAAAGAGTGCGTTCAGTTTGATATATATATATATACTGTGATATATCACAGTACAGATTTATAAATCTGTACTTTATTCCGAGCTTTATTCACGGAAAGTTGTGTATTTACAATTCTCTCTATACTCTGGCCTCCTTCATAGGTGTTCTTTGATGGGTAGGCCTGCAAAGAACGCCTGTAAAGGAGCCTAACTATACCCTAGCTTCTTTGACTCGTTCCTCAGTAGGTTCAGATGAACTGTCGTCACTCCAATCTTCATTTAAGGCTGCTAACTTCATCTATATTCAAATACAAAAAATCCACAAACGACTTGGTATGAACACAACAAGACGGATGGTACACCTGGGCAAATTTCGACAAGGAAAAGATAGTTCATCTGTGTATAAGCATGGTAATAGTCTTGAATGCAAACACAACGTGTTGTCCAGTTTCCAGACAGTGGACATTTCCTACAGTAACCCAACACCTATCACCTATGCTATGTTGATATATTCCACCATTGAAGATCGCTAGAAGGTTGGAACTTTTGCAGATCAAGGCCACTATCATATAGTTTTATGATCAAATCAAATATATTTAGTGAAATTGCATTAATTGCTGTCTAGCAAGACTGGTATCTGATTTACATTTTTAATACAATCGTTTTGTATTCAATTTTAAATAGTATAAAATATATACATTTCTCGTACATACCTTTCCATTATTCTCTATCTTTTACACACATCTTTTATTCGACATTAGATAATTATTTTCAGATCGTGCAAAAACCACGATAAAAATACATTTTAGGACGGATATTTATAAAATTCAAAGAAAAAATCAAAATTATAAAAATAATAAAATATATTGTATTCATTACATAAAGTATTCATCGTCTTACTTTTCATCCGCAGATCACAATCACTGTCTGCTCAAAGCCTCGAACCAATACCGTCGATTGAATCCATCCATGGACACGTCAGATAAACAAATTCTGGAACATTTCACAAGTTTTAGCCACTGATCTCATAGTGGTATTAGCAGTTGAAAATCACAAAATGCACAAGGCAAAACAGAGGTCAATTTAATCAGGTTATATATCCACGCATCATTTTATTTGTTGTGCAATTTATCACAAAATTCTCTATATTTACAGTAAAATAATCTACAATTGATTATTTTTTACGTATATTGTTCTTTTGGTGTCTGAATTTCCCAGCATTTGATTTCACATTTTTGATCAACGCAGACAACCTACAAGAAAATACATAATTTGAGTTGGAATGTTGGATCTGTCGCTCTGTATACCTGCCTGTTAGCATACTATGCTGTTAGGAATGGTGTTCACACCCCCCCCCCCCAGATTTTCTCTAAGGGTGGGATTAATTCAGCACCATTGTGCAGATGATGGCGGTTAATTGGCACCTTTCCCACAGTGAGAAAATATTTTAAATACTTTCCATTATATATGTACCAGCTTTGTATTTAGAGGAAATAAAAAATTGCAAGAATTAGTTTTACATTTTACTGTAATATTTACAGAAGCCGACCGCAACATGAAATCTGATCCCCTCGATCAATTACGTCTTCTACAGTGAGGTAAAAGATACTGATGATTCCATACTCACCCGGGATCGACTGTTTTCGTTTTACCTAAAACAAAAAATAATGGAAGTTGAGTTTGGAATATGTTGGTCTGTGCCCAGGGTTTGATGTAGTTCTCTGATTAAAATTTAGCCTCAGTCACATGTGAGAGGAGTGCTTCCGGTTTGACTCTATACCAGTACCAGATTTCTCCAGGTCCCCAGCCCAGGTCTCCAGTGTCCTCGAAAGGAAAAAGGATAGAACTATCCAGTGCGGTCAGAACGGTAAAATTGTTGAATGGAAGACAAAACATGTGGGCTTCGGACCTATCTGACCGGAAAATTTAGAAAACATTAGAATGAGGTCCATTTTCGCTAGATATTTGAGAAACATAGACCAGACTTTTCTATTGATACAGAGAAAAGAATTCGGGTCAGGCCATTAAATGGAAAGCGCCCTCAATTTAGTTCGCGCAGTCAATCTTCGCGCACTCAAAGTTTACAAAATCATGCCACTTTGCAAATCCAATGACTGTGTACCGATTTACTTAATTTGCATTATATTTGAGCAATTTACAATACAAAGTTATATCAGGGGTTTATCGTGCATAAAATGTGTTTATAACAAAAACAACCCATTTGCTCAGATGTAAAATATTTGTATTCTACAATACGTTTAATTAAAATATAAATTGTTTGAAGGTGAATGTTTGTTAAGTTCGAATAGTGTACATTCATGTTTTACAAAAAATTTACTTTAAATTAGCTTTGCCTTTTTGATTGTGTTAAATATTTGTATTATAAAGTAACCTTAATTAAAAAATAAATTACCCTATTGTCAATGTATGTTAAGTTACAATACTATATAAATTCTGTTTCGCATTAATTTCACTTTAATTCAGCTTTGCCTTCCGAAGAGAACGTAGACAAGAAAGCGTGCAAGACCCAACTCTTAAACATGAAGGCATTGATTTTCATTTATGTGTTCGCCCAAATTGGCGTAATCCTCGCAGACAACTGGCCATGCGATCGCAAGAAAGCAATCGCAGCTTTCAAAAAGAAGGAAGTCACGAACGCTTGGCCATCGTTTAAAACAGACCCATACAAGAACCAAACGGCAGCATCAGAAGCAAAGATACAAGAATACCTCAAAGACCACACTAGAGTTTGTGCTATCCGCTACGAAGACGCGTCGAGAAAGCGTTACGAAATTCGTGACTTTCCTGACAACATAACAGCATTGCGCTCAGGGTTTATTGTCACCCATCAAGGGAAATGTGGCGCTTGCTCAAACCTTAAGGATTTGGCCGTGTATCTCGAACGAAATCTCACTGGTGTAGTCCGTTCTTGTGGTCTAAGGTTCTTTGACCGTTTCGTTACAAATTGTTTGAGTGATCTAGGATTCACACCTCAGTGCGTCGACATTTGGAAATATAATGTGTACAATACAAGACGCGATTGTTTTGGTACGTGTATTTGGGCGTGGATAAAGGGTGAACCGAACACCAATCCCGACGGAAGTTTAAATAAATGTCTACAATGCGACGAGGATAAGTCCGGGCCGGTGTTCAAATATTTCGCTGGTCGCACAAGAAGGAATTCTGGTATACGGAGTGCGATTCAACGACCATCTGATCAAGTCTACGAGATGAATCATTGCTATTTTTGAACATGAGTCATGAACTTTAACTTTATGTGTCTTAGAATAATCGTGTAATTGATATTGGGGAATGATTTTTGGAATGAAATAGGGGAACTGATTTAGTAACTTATGAAATATCTTGAAACATATTAAAAGTGTAATGAGTCCATTTTGAACTTTTTTCTTAACTTTAACTTTCTACTTTATAGCTTTATCAGTTCTAAACTGTTTTCCATAGAGGTCCAGTAAGAGTCGTCTCTTGTTGATCCAGTGTTACTACAAGAGAAAACCTAAACTAAACTAACTTCATTTATACTGGATAGCTCTATCAGTTCTAAACTGTTCTTTCTAGAGGTCCAGTATAAGAGTCATCTCTTGTTGGTCCAGTGTTACTACAGGAGGAAACTGGAGGACCAGTAGGTCCAGTAGAGTACCATTGATATAATTGAGACACCTTATAAGACACGTACCCAAGGTTTCACTGACATTTGCGATTACAGGATCCATCGACTTTTCACTCTTGTTGTCTGAGCGACGTTGTTTCTCACGGATAATCGATTCCATCGCTTTTGTTTTCCTAATTGAGAAAAACAATTTGTATTTTCGTGTAAGTTTAACGTGTGTGCAAGCATGGGCAGTCAAGAAACGGCGTTGAAACTCATCAAAGTATTCGTTCTATCTTTTTGTTCATGTTTATGTAAAGTGGTACACGGTGGAGACAATGATCTTATGTCGAAATAATGATAACAAAATTTAAAAAGATTTGTGCGCACTGAAGTCATCTCGACAAAACTAATCGTAGCTTTTTATTTGCCCAATCTCCAGAGCGTATTTTGATCAACTATGTGTCTGTTACTTAAATTTACTTACTTGAATTGTGGATCAGATGGATCGACAGCATAAAGATGAGAGGAATACAGTGCAGAGAATCTACTATCATTCACATCAATTTCAAAATCATCTTGCTTCGTTTCTTCTTGTTTTTTCCTTCTTTTCTTTTTAGATTTTTCATTTTTCATGATGGATTTAAGATTGAAATGTTTCTTGCCATCATCGTCTTCCATCATCAGTAACTGCAGTTCAGCCTGAAGAAAAGGTTTAACTGTTGTTTCTATATCCAAAGCGATTTATATTTTGCTTCGACAATTTTTAGAGGGTCACCCATTGTCGAGTCAAATCGTCTGTATTACAGTAAATATATAAAAGGCACTGTAAACTGCAGTTTTCGCAACCAGTTTGAAAAGTGATTGCCAGTAACTCCATTTCAAAACAGGGGTGAAACAGGGGTAACGCTTACGACCATGTAATTTACATTCGCCTTTGTCTTTGAGGATCAATGCTATTGTTGATGACCACGTTGCCGTTGTATTTGCCAAACTCCCTAATGATATAACATGCTCCCGTCGATGCCTCCCCACTCGCAAGGAGCCGAGCAGGATTCATCATTATTTTGACAATTGCTTTTTAATTCACAACAAAGAATACTCCTTAGAAAAGCGTTGTCAATTTTTATTTGTAGTTTACCTTTCTTCGTTTATCCTCCTCGCTTCCAAGCTCTTCTCCTTTCTTTCTCCTCTTCTTCTTTTTCTGTCTTCCATCTTTCTTCTTGCTTGTCACGGTACTTTCTGTTTTCTCCAGTTCTTCAGCGAAGAACGGATCACTCAGATCTACATCCGGCGGAAGTTCATCGTCACTCAACTGCGCAGCTGATTGGCTGCGGAAACAAAAGAAATGAAAGAAACATGTAGGAGAACTTGAACTATTATTTGGTGGGAAAAGACCTCAGATGTTTAGTAAGTAAATTTACAAACCCATCATCGTGATTCTGTTTAGCTTGCTGTTTCATTTTCTTCTTTTGTTTCTTCTCGTTCAGATAGTTTTCCCAAGGCGTCAAATCCTTCCTTTCTTTTTCATTTTTCTTTCGTTTGATCATTTCCTCCGCGGATTCCTTCAGTCCTACCTCCCACGTAATTTCCATCTCATTCTCCGCCTCATTTTCCTGCTCTTTCTTGTTGATCTCTTCGAGTAATTCCTGGGTTTTTAAAACACATTGACAGATTGACCCTTTTCTATTCCGCACCTGATGTTACTAAGTGCATGCATGGTATGGTGTTTTGGTGGTAACTCCGTTAGTTTAAAGGCTGATTTAGACAGACGTTTCTGTGATCACAGTAGGAATTTTGCATGGGCAAATTCTAAGTTTTGAAGGATTTGTAAGAACTTTTTGAGGGAACTGACTGAGTGTTAAACACTCAATCAGTTCTCTCAAACATTTCTTACGCTTTATGGTCGTTTCGTCCCCTTGCCGTTTCGTCCCCTTCCCGTTTCGTCCCCAACACGGACGTCACCCGAAAATTGGTAGGACTAATTTTGACGGCATTTTGCATCATAGCGCTCCTCTAAGGAAGCAAAAAAACTTTAAAAAGCTTATATAGGTTTTTTCATATGTGTTGAAGATTACCACAAACTGACAAAAACACAGTTTTCAATCCAGTCCCCCTCGACGAACTGACGTTCGTGTTGAGAAAAAAACATTGCGATCTTAAGCTCACTAATGGCAGTCATTCTGTCATTGGTCTAGTTTTCCTCAGACTCAGTTCCAATTAAAATAAAGTCAAGTGGCACTATAATAGTTACTGACAACAGCAATATTAATATTGTGAAATAAAAGCCAAATATTTAAGTTACATTTCAAAGTTTCGGAATTTAAATACAAAAATGTGTATTATCCAGGCATACAATCCACTGAGATACAATCTCAAAAAGTAAGATATATTGTATTAAGGAAGTAGGTTATACAGATAAAACAGTATCTAGTCTGGGGACGAAACGTGAAGGGAACGAAACGGCAAGGGGACGAAACGGCAAGGGGACGAAACGGCAAGGGGACGAAACGACCGGCCCACCGGGGACGAAACGGCAAGGGGACGAAACGACCAGTTACCTTTCTTACAAATCCTTCAAAATTTAGAGTTTACCCATGCAAAATTCCTACTGTGATCACAGAAACTTTGAGTTTCTGCTTATTTTTTAAGGTAGTAATATAACCACTCAGCACAGCATTTTCACATTGGTACTACCTACACTGGTACAGACAGTTTTAGTATATACACAAGACTGAACTGAATATAATAAACCCAGGCACATGCGAGCAATTTTTTCTTGCAAGTCTTTTCATGTAAGACGACTAGTTATGTCAGTTTTTGAACAAAGAAAACTTATTTTATTTGCATGTTCATTTGTACGTCTGACATGAAAATCGTCGTCGTTGCATCGTTCTTGTCGCCAAATAAAACTTTCAAAT